TGTAGCAGTGTAGTAGACAGGCGCGTTATCGAACTTTTGCGTAGTACTCAGCAAGCTTACAATGCGCAAGGTTAACGTTTGTAATAAGATGATCTTCAGGCGCATCTAGATCTTCGTAATATTCACCACACTGCTCTTTAGCACCCGCGCCAATGGAAGACTAGCTCTGAAATTGGAGTACGCAAAACACCACCCAAATTGTACAAGACCCATAGAAACTCCACAACGACCATCATACATAGAACGGCTTAGCCAAAGTCCTACATAGTCACCGACTGATACAGGACTCTAATGGAAATATAATAATAATAATAATAGATCTTCGTAATTTACATCCTTAAGGCGGTCTTTGAGAGCCTTAAGCTGGTTAAGAAGCTACTCAAACGTTACTAGAACTTCCTATATAGCGCCGTGTCGGCCGTGTCGGCCGCGACCTTTAAGTAGCCGTGTAGCTTCGGCAAATGGCTCAAGGAGTCGAATGTATTCTGTTATTGTCGCCCAGTCCTTGCCGCTTAGACCCCCTTCGCGTATATATAACCGTGGCTGGGCAGCAGGGAGCTGCTCACGATTCTTCCGGCGTCGTGAGGTTGCTGTTGCAGCACTATGCTCCTCAAGTTTACACTCAATATAGCCATCGATAGGGCCGTGTAGCTCAGCTGCACGGACAAACGTGTTGAAATAGCTATTCCAGCGTGTCTTAACAGGCTTCACAAGCTGCCGGATGTGGGGTGTAACACCTAGAGACTCTGCCTCCTCGCACTGTAGGCGCTCTAGTAGTTGTCGAGTTTGAGGCGTACAGATAGACGCAATCACGTCAAAGAGGACGCCAACAGGACCGTATTTGCGCCACTCATCCATGTACTTCTCCTCTTCCTCAAGGTGTGCGGCTTCATTCTCGTACGCGCTACGGTCTTTGCCCCAAATTACTAATTGTGCGCTTAGGTTGAGTATATGGCAGCAGCACCGCAGCCGCCGCTCGCTTGCGATAAAGCCAAACTCCTCTGCTAAGGACTCAACTGCAGTATCATTGTTACTTGCGTTGTCAAGCACAAAGTACCCAACCCTCGCGTTGTCAACGCCAAATAGCCGAAGTATTGTTGTTGCTGCAGCGGCAATATTATTGCCAGTGTGCGCCCCGTGTAGCTCAGGCAACCCAAGCAGGTGGTCAACTAGCTTGCCCTCGCTGTTAAGGTAATGTACGCAGAGGCCAGTAAAAGCATACTGCCCACCAGTTGAAGTCCAGTTGTCGAATGACACGTGTATAAGCGACCGGGCTTCGCGAAGGTAGTTGGCAATAGCTGGTATGTATGTATTGTACTCAGTAATAATATAATCGTGGAGCGTTTGGTGGCTACGCCAAAGGAGAGCTTCGGCTAGCGGGCTCACGGCCGCAATCATGGCTCGAAACTGCGGCGTTTCTATTACGCGAAGGCTCTGGTTGTCCGCGACTACCCAGTCCTTCAGCGCGTCCTGAAATCGAGAGGTTGAAAAGCTTGCTGCTATCTCGTTTGCTACCTCTTGCGATACTTCTATCCCTTTAGACCTCATAATATGTACTTGGGACTTTGCGAGCGCGCCCATAATATTGCCCTCCCGGCTAGCAATTGGTACAGGTCCGTTAGGTCCGTGTGAGTGTCCAGGCTTGTTGCCTGAGAGGTGTCGGCCGGCGTTTGTAGTGCTGTCAGCCTCGTAGCAAGCCTCCTGCTTCCGTCGTTGATGGCAGTACCGGCAAAGCCAGTAGTTTTTCTTGTACTTGCGGTGCCAGACGGCCCAGCCGTGGCGGTAGATCCAGCTTTTTGGCCCACCGCGACTATTACGCTCAACCTGGCGCCGCTCAAGATACGGCACACGCTTAAAATCAAGCCCGTCGTAATTGTCGTCGTCGTCGTCGTCGTCGCCGTCGTTGGGGAAGTCCGCCTGTACTGCCAAGGGCTCATCAGCCTAGGCCTCACTCGCAGTATCGCCAACAGTAGGCGCGTTTGATAGCGATGGTAGAGGAGAATTGCGCTTGTCGCATTCTACAAGGCGGCGAAGGCCTGAATTAGAGGGAGTAGACATGAAGTACACCAAGAAGTATTATGGCAACAGTAGTCTAGCGTCGTGTGTATAGCAGACGCGACGCGACGCGACGCGAAAGGCTTACTAGGTGCGCACCGGGTAGCGCATTTCCGCAAACTCTAATTAGCTTAAAGCTAGATGCTTTAACTTATATAGGATTAGTGTCTTTATATCTAGGACTAGCGCGGCTTCGAAGCCGCACTAAATGTGGCTTTCACAACTCTAAAATACTGCTTTAAAAACAGCTAACGTCAGTCTAACGTCAGTCAGTTCAGTCAGTCTGGAGGCTTCTGAACTGACTGGACTGACGTCCAGCTGCCTCAAGAACTGACTGACTGAACTGAGTCTTGGCAGTCAGTTCAGTCAGTTCGAACTGAGTTACCTGACTGATAGCAAGTCTGTCATCAAGCGTGAACAATCTCCTAGTCCAGTTCATCATCTTCCTTCTCCCCCTCCTTCCCATGCACCTCTTCAAACTTCTCCTTCGGGTCCTCGGCACCCTCCTTCTTCGCTTGTTCCGTCGGCAGCAACTCAATCACAACCACAAACAGCTCCTTGTTCGTTTCACGGTTCTTCAGCACATATCTAAGTGTGTGCGTTCTGATTAGTGAGTGTTCCAGTCAGCCCCAGCTCCAATCCAACGAAGTGTGGTGAGTGCAATCACAGCAAAAGGGGGAAGGGGATACATACCGCAGTGGTTGTCCGTCCCAGTGGCCAATGATGGAGATGTTGGGCAGTCCGTAACCTATCTTGAGCGCAAACTCGTTGAAGTCGAGGTACGGGTTAAAGAAGTCGCACTTGTACTCCCGTCCCGCCTCGAATGTAAAGTCTTTCCGTCGTTGCTCGTTGAGGAAGTGCTTTTGTCGCGCAGCAGCCTTGTCAGGGACTCCCTTTTCTTTGCGAACGTCAACTCCATCTCCATCCGCGCCTTCCGAGTAGACTATAGCCTCGCCTTCGGATCCGTCGACTTCCACGTCGCCCTCGGTTTGCGCTTTTCCTTCTAGCTCACCTGCCGTCGACTTGTCCGCATCGCCTTTTGCGCCGATCCTCAGCACGTTGATGCTGCTCAGTAGCGCACCGTACAGGTACGGTTCATCTGCATACACATCGCCATCTAGTCCAGGGTCGATCCACCACTTGACAACACCAAACGCCTTGTCGAACAGAGGCGGCAGACGGTCGCGAATCGGGTGGTCAAAGTCGTTGCCAAAGACCAGTTTATCGCCTGCGATATCGGTCTTGGGTGTGAAGGAAAAGGATATCGAATAGCGGTCATACGGGTGTTCGGGCGTGGAGAAGTAGGGCGATGTTGACGGCGAGCCTTCTGGGTGTCCTGAAGGCTGTCAGTTGAATGTTTGGAGTGGGTACAAGAGGCAAAGAAGACAAACCTCTGTAGTCCTTGATCCGCATGTGTACTGTCGCATCCATCAGGGCTGATGTATCTGCACAGCTTCTGCGTAAAACCAGCATTTTTAAAGCGAAGAGACGGGGGAAGGTGCCGCCGCCGGTGCTAGAAAATAATAGTGTACGGGTGTCGCGATCTCTCCAATAGGATTGGGATTTGTATTTTTAGCAACAGATGTACATCACAATTAGTGGTTGGACCTTGGAGTTCCCGGAACGCGACATCCAAATGAATGCCGCGAGTTCTTCGGTACGTATCTTTGGATTCGAGGTCGCTCGAAGCTAAATCTTCATGAGTTGTATGGATGG